TTTGTCTCTGAATCCCCAACTTGTTCCTCATTAACTATATTTACTGTATTACAGATGCTTCCTATTATAATTATTCAATAGTTATAATTATTTCAATTGTGTTGCATTTCCTTATTTTATTATAAATTCACTGACATCTGGAACCATATTTTATATTGCTTTATAAATTATTTTTAATAAGCCATTTCATCTTTTTGTAATTGAGATTTGTTGTCTGTAAAGTAGAAGGTTTAGGTTAAAATGACATCTCATGTTCTTTCTTATTCTATAGTTCAAATCAAATAGAAAGAGCACATAATTCCTTTCACTAAATCTTTATTTGTTGAATGAATAAATTGTGCTGATTTGTGGCTGTAGCTGTTTGGAATGATTGATCATACCTGGATGGAATATGAGTGCCTTGAGATCAGGATGATCAAATAACTTATTTTTGTAGTTCCCAAGCCTTACGCATGCCTCTTTAGTATGCAGAAAGCATCCAATAAATCTCATCAAAATAAACATACAAAGGGTGAAAGACTCACAGTCCCAGAATTTATAATCTATTCTGTCTGCTAATAACATTTGTTTTTCCCTTGTTAATTCACATAAGTATAGGTGACAGTATCAATAAACAAGATCATCCAGTGCAAAGCCATACCTCCAGGTATTCCTGAACCACTTGCTCTGGAGTGTTTCCCAGAAACACATAAAAGTCAAGAACGCCTCCAATTGTGCGGTAAGTGATTGCAGGAGCAGGCTGAAGGGCAACCTCTAAAAGGATTAAAATGTGGTATTAGAATCTTATGATTGAAATTTTTCTCTGGAGGCTACATGAATAAAGGAGTCTTGCAAAGCAATCTCAGTTTTATTCTTAAAGGGATGGAAGTCACATATGTTCACTTTTTACAAGATTACTGAAATGCCAAAGAAGCACTGAGGTTTGTTTAAGAAAAAGTAAAAACAAATTCTAGTTTAACCTACCCATTTAAAAGTACAAATCTTTGGAGTTTACGAGTGGTTTAACCTACAGAAAAAGATGTTTTAAAAAATTTTATTCCATGAACTTGATTACAATTAAAACTTAAAAAATAATTAAATAATGCTTTTCAGTTCACTATTGATCCAGAAGATGGAGAAGGAAGAATATGCAGTATATTAAGGGTGGGCTCTGAGAAACAGCCTATTAAAGCAAAATCTATTGCCTACATGCAGACAGCATGGTACACAGGGGAATCTATAGGTATGTTGAAATATGTTCTCAGTGAATCCAATCTATTAACAGATTCTGTAAATAATATTTGCAGAATGTTAGGGGAAGAATTCCACCAAAGGAGATCCTTGAAGCAGTCTTAAAAAGTGGCTTTAAGCATGAGCTTCATTTGCATTTGGACTTACTTTCAGATTTCTCACCATAAAAGTAATTTTTCTTATAACATTAGTGTCCTAAAGTCTACCCTCACTGGTGGAAGAGAAAAAGATGCTTCCTACCCATGGCATTACTGTTCATCAGAAAAACTCCAAAAGAGAAGCCACTGGCATCTTCAAGGCACAAGAAGAATGTATGTGCTCCATATAGATTGATCAGGCCCTGTTAGCAAGAAAGGAAAAAGAGAAGTAATAGTTTTATGTGGTAAAAATGCTTATTCACCTTAAAATAAAATCAAATGCCAAGCTATACATATACTCGGTCAACACGTGATGTAATGTAGTAGCACCTAAAAGATATTCAAGTGACTCATCAACTAAGAAGTGGAAAAACAAAATACAGTCATATCTAGACAGTGGAGTAATATTCAGCAATAGCAAGAAATAAAATACTGACACATGCTACAAAATAGCATATATGTTATGCTAGGTGAAAGAAACAGACACAAAAGACCAAATATCACACAATTCTATTTATATAGAATGTCTTGGAAATCCAAATCTATAGACTTAAAATGGATTAGGTTTGCCTGAGGTGGTGAGTACATCAGATAGGAATTAGGATTAGTTCTAAAAGGGCACAAGGTATCCTACTGGGGTAGTGAAATTACTATAAAAGCATCCCAAAACTTGATTATGATGGTAATTGCACAACTCAATGAATGTGCTAAACATCATTTGTCTCTGAATCCCCAACTTGTTCCTCATTAACTACATTTACTGTATTATAGATGCTTCTTATTATAATTATTCAATAATTATAATTATTTCAATTCTGTTGCATTTTCTTATTTTATTATAAATTCACTGACATCTGGAACCATACTTTATATTGCTTTATAAATTATTTTTAATAAATCATTTCATCTTTTTGTAATTGAGATTTGTTGTCTATAAAGTAGAAGGTTTAGGTCACTTAGGACCTATGTTACTTAGGATCCCATGTTCTTTCTTAACAATTTTTTTTTTTTTTTTTTTTTTTTGGTTTTTCTCTGGTACCGGGAACCGAACTCACGACCTTGCTCTTGCCAGGCAGGCGCTTTTGCCGCTGAGCTAAATCCCCAGCCCCCCCATGTTCTTTCTTAATCAATAGTTCAAAGCTACACTCAAAAAATTTTTTTGAGCTACACTCAAAAAATTTTTTATGTGTGGTACTGAAAATTGAATTCAGGGCTTCCTGCATGCTAAGCAAGTGCTCTATTATTGACTCTTACCCAAAACAGGTAAGTTATGTGGCATATAACTTATCCCTCAACTGAGTTATTTGTTGAAAATTGAAAAATATTTGCAATGATATGTACGAAATTTTAGCAGAAAGTGACAATGTTATTAGCAATTTTGAATTTCTTAATGCCATCTGCATTTTCAAATCTTCCAAAATTAACATGTAAAAAAGTTTAAAGCTAAGAAGAAAGAGTTTGAAGCTGTCACAGAGAGGATTGGATGAGCACTACATAAAAGGAGAGATGTGTATGCGTATAACTGTAAGTGCCATAAAATTACAGATACTGGAAATATAATAAGCAGGAAGTTTTATGGAAGTCCCCATGTGAAAGCATCACAATCAGCCCATTAAATAGTGCACCAAGATGGACAATGATAAACCCCAGAAAAAGGAAAAGAAAGAGAATCAACACAACAGGCAAAACAGAGATCAATGGCAATCAGTGGCACCCTGACTACATTTAACACTGTACCAGGAAGAATCAAGGCATAACATCTGGATAAAATATAGATTTGATTTTATTTTTCAGAGAAAAAATGAGGGAAAGGTCAAGAAAAGGAGGAAGGGAGAAAGAAAAGCAAAAAGAGAAGGAAGGAGGACAGGACAGGGAGGGAAGGAGGAAAGATGGAAAGAAAGAAAGAAAGAAAGAAAGAAAGAAAGAAAGAAAGAAAGAAAGAAAGAAAGAAAGAAAGAGAGAGAGAGAGAAGGAAGAAGGAAGGCAGTCAAGGAAGCATTTAATCTAATATGTAAGAATAAAATATAAGAATTTCAGTTGTAGAAAATTAAATTTAATATGAATCTAAAGGTATCTGTCAGGTTCCTAGACCGACAGTTCAGTGAAATGTAGGTACTGCTTTCTCCTTCTGTTCAGGTCAATAAGCACGCTCCTCCCATTGCATCTGATACGGGTAGGTGAGCCACAAGCTAATGTGCTACTAGCTTTGCAGAAAATGAAACCTCAGCCCCATCCCTGTGCCATGCCACACTTCCACAATCCTCAGCTCCTTCACTGATCCGAGAACCACCATCAGCACAACGGAGGCTTCAGACAGCGCTCTGCACACCAGTGCTGCTCCGAGGACTGTCTTTGGCCTGGTACCTTTCCAAATCCTTTGCTATCAGTCAGCAACATGATAAATAGAAAAACGAAGAGTAAGAGTTTAGAAACTCTCTTATAGCTCTTTAAAGTACTAATTTTATGTTTCTTCCATTTAAAATTTGGGCTTACAACTTTTATCTTTGGATTTTTTTTTAATTTTGTTTGCCCAACAAGGTCACTTACAAAACCATTGCCCATGCTGAATTAACCAAAAACACATATGCTAATCTTTCACTCCAAATAAGAAGAGAAGCACTGAGTAGAAGAACCTTCTCCCTCTTTACATCTACCTGCTTTGCCTGGGGGTCTTATTAGAGGGCAGCTTCGGAGTCAGTGGACCTCAGGGTCTCTACGTTCCTAAGAACCTCCAAGGTGACACTAACACTGCCATCTCAGAAGCGAATTTTGACTAGCAAAGACTTTCCACAAAAACTGTTTAGAAGCATTTTCCACCCCCACAAGTATTGCGGTGAAGATGAGAATTGCTGAAGTTCTTCTCTAGATGTTTAATTGTGAAAGCCAGACAGTGATATTTTGCAAAAGCATTCCTTACTTAATTCCTTATACTAATCATTCACTTACATTTTCCAACAAAAGTTAAATTGTTTTAAAAATTTCTAACTGTGAGTTTATAAATTTCAAAACAACTATTCTTCAACACAAACAAATCTCAACTGAGCAAAATGAGATATGGACATGTCTCTGTAGCCTCTCTTTGGGAAAGGAAGCAGCAAGCCCCTGACTATGCGCGGTGAGCAGGAAGAAGGGCACCTCACCGCGGTGGGCGCTGTGTCCCGCGTGAAGATGGGCCAGGTTTTCCAGTTCATGTTGTGGCGGTACTGCCGGTGCACGTGCTCTCCTAGCCCGTACACATTGGTGCTGGGTAGGCGGAAAGACAGCTGCAGGTACTGATAGGCAAACTGGAGGGGCCCGATGCTCGTGTCCAACCTGGGCCATGAGGGAAAAATGAAGGGTCAATGTATCACTCTCTTATCTCTGTCAGGAAACTCTTTGCACCTTTCCTCGTTCACTCAGCCATTAGTTGCTGTGGATATTTTCACTGATTCTCATGTTACCTTGGAAGGCCTCTGCAGGCCATTTCTGGTTCTTTGAATCTAGGGAAGCATAATACCAGTGATAGACACCAGAGGCTCAAGATGGGTAAAGAGAGGAAATTTGATTTCGTATTTGCTGTACATCTACTGCATTCTAGACACCACTGTGGATGCTTTATAAATATTATCAGCATTTTATAGACAGATAAATTGACACTGAAGAGGTGAAACATATTGCTGACCGATGGTTTGCTAGTACCAGGATTTGAGTATAGGTTTTACTGCTATTATACTTAAATCTTCTACAGGACAATTGGTGATGTAAATTCAAACTCTTTTAGATGGTTGGCCGGGGATATTAGCTCAGTGGCACAAGAGGCTGCCTAGCAAGCACGAGGTCAAGTTTGATTCCCGGTACCACAAAAAAAAAGATACTAAATGCTTGATGGTAAGATTCACAGAAAATAATACTTTGGAATGATAAACAGTGAAAGTTCAGTTCTGGGATAAATGATAACTCAAAACAATAAGATTCCTCACTTTGTAATATGTGAACTATAATTTTGTATGTATTCATATATTGTATAACAGTAAATTAGTGCATTACATTTTAGTACTCTGCTATACAATCATGACATTATCATTGTTAATTAATTACAGTAAATAAATTTACATGTTTCTGAATTGCAAGCATATTTTAAGTCATACTTATTGCATACCTAAAATGTGTTGCAATGAGTGATATTAGGACCCTATATTCAAAAATGTGCAAAGAGAGCTGGGGATATAGCTCAGCAGCACAAATGCCTGCCTGGCAAGCACATGGTCCTGAGTTCGATTCTTGGTACAAAAAAATGTGCAAAGAATGATGAAAAGCTCACAAGACTCTTTTGTTGCTCATCCTCAATACTTTGATGCTGAAGGGCTTATTGGTGACCTCTATGTGGTAGCTCAAGCTGGAGGAATCCGCAGTCCCGTTACTGGGTTTGATGATTTCATGGGGTACCTCATAACGAATCTCATTGTTATCAGTAATCTGTCAGAAGAAACCAGAAGGGACAGCTCCAGGTAAGAGTGCTTCCTTGTAGAGCTCCATTCCCCCATGACAAAAGCTTACCATTCCTGACCTTGGGGCTCCTGATTTGCAAGAAAAAAATCACTCAGCTACAGGTTCCTTGTCAAATATAAATTAGCCTGCCCATCCCATCCAGAGATTCCTGCACTGAAGAATGGAGGTACCTCCTGCTTCCACACATATGCACGGAACATGAGGGAAAATTGTATGAACGCAGGGTAGGGAACCCCCAGGGCTGGTTAACCCACCTTAAAGTGAAAACGATTGGATGTCTGCAATTCAGCTGTGAAGAGGGCATCACTGACATCATTTCCAAATAGAGGTGGGGATGGTATCTTTTTTAACTGGGCAATAAACCCTACAGTAGGGAGAGGAGTACAAGAGAGAGACTTGTAGCTTTCTTCTTGCAGTAAACTCATCTGGCTCACAGAGTTTTTCTTTGAGGCCACACTGGGTTTATGCTCACCTGTGGTTGTATTTCTAAGGCCACTGCTGACTTCGTAGCCCCAGTTCCTAGGGAAGAAGCACCGAGGGGCATTGGTATCTGCCACAGGATTCCAACAACACTTATACTGCCTTCTGCAGATATCCTGTAATGACAGGCACTAAGTTGGCATTATATGAAATAAAAGAAGGAAAGCATTATTTGGCCATTTCCTCTCAAACCATTTTATTCCAAGAGGAATTTGAGATAATTACATGCATCACTTATTCATTCTTTACCTATTCATACAGATATTGAGCTACTCAGAATGCATTTATCAACCAAACAAAGAACATAGACAAATCAAACAGAGTAGTTTGTGCCTTTAGCAAACTGAGAGTCTAGCAGGAAATTAAGACAATTTAAAAAATGATGAGTTATGTGCTCCAAGTGACTGTGAGGAAAGCTGAGAAAACATGCACACCAGCAATCACACTGGGCTGGTAGACTGAGAGTGGGGTGGAAAGGGTTTCCAAATAGGTAGAACAAAAAGTCATTCCTAAATCCCCAGAAATCACTAGATAGAAGAACAGTAGAAAGATACTCCAGGCAGAAAAGGGAGCGATACACAGTAGACTGAAAATCACAAACCTCACATGCTGAGAGCACTGGATAAAAACAGTGAGCATAGAAAGACTGAGAAGATACACACAGCGTTATTAACTCAAGGGGATTTGGATGTACACAGAAAGCATGAAAGAACACTGCTCTGATTCATTCTGTATGTAACTAAAATGTCTGAACTTTTTAAAGGAATGTATTCAGTACAGATTGTGTTACTAAAAAATAAAGACTATGTCACAACATGACTCATTTGCAAAAGTTATAATGGTGACTAGTATTTTAGACACCAGTTTTTGATATAACTTTTCTGTAAAAACCCTAATATTGGGCTGGGGATGTAGCTCAGTGGCATAAGTGCCTGTCTGGAAAGCACAAGTTCCTGAGTTGGATTCCCTGGTACAAAAAAAAGAAACAAAACCCTAATACTGATGTAACTTAAATCAGTACCCACTATGAGAAAGCACATTATGATCATAAGATCTATTTAAATGTTTATTAATTCCCCATAGATCTAATTGGCATCCCTGTCTCATTCTTTTCAAATAACAAAACAAAACAAAAGACTACCGAGGGTCAGTGAAGAAAGGATTTGGGATTCTCGATGGCCTCAGGATGACTGATTTTCTCAAGTCTAAGGCAGATACCAAGAACTTCCGCCACCTTGAAAGTGAAGTCTGTTGGGCCCAAAGGTTAGTTTCATTGTTATAAATTGTTTCAAAGTCTACAAACCTCCATAAAATGCAATGAACATTCAGATAAACACAATATTTTTGTGTATGATTTGATCTAATATCCTTCTTTCAGTCCCAGGCACCAAAGGTCAAACCTTGTAGACAATTACTTTCCAATCTGTCAAATTCCATATTATCTCCCATGCATGTGTAGAGCAGCAGTATTGCTTCCTGCCTTCTTTATCCCCATTGCCATTATTGTAACACAAATACTCATAAACTCATGCCTGACTCGTACTGACTCACAAGTCTCATCCCTATTTTCTTCAACACTAAAATTCCAAAACATTTTTGCTAGCTATCTTGCAATAAAGTTATCTTACACAAATTCTGTGTAATTTTTCAATCAGAAAGTATTCACTAATATAATTTAAGAATTGAAAATTGACCTGGCATTTATTGAGTTCCTCATCTATTTGATGAAAGCATGTCTTAAATAGAGTCTCTGATAGATGCTTAAATTCTGTAAACAATACATAGCCAACTTCTTCCAAAATCAAAAATTCCACTTTTGTATGTAGTATTTTACTGCAATGATATTTCTTGTGTTTAGATAGAGTGAGCCTCCAGAAACTTTCATTTTCTAAAACCTACTCTGTTCATATTGCCTTTTAGATTAACTCTCTCAAGCCATATTAAATTTTTTAAAAAGGAAAGAATAGTTGTGTGATAAGAAAGAAAACAGAATATATAGAGAGAAAAGACTGTCATTATTTGCAGGAGACATTGCCATATAAGAAAACCTGAAATGATTTTACGTAAAAATGAAGAAAATAAGTGAGGTTAAGAAGGTCTCTGGTTACAAGATCAACATTCAATAATCAACTTTAAATCTATGTCAACTACAGAGAAGCAGAAAATTAACATTTGAAAATAGTACTTATATAGAGTCAAGTGTTAGTTATTAAAAATTAAAGCAATGTGCAAGTTATCTATACCAACAATTCAAAAATAAAAGTTCAAAGATAAAACTCTGGATAAATGGGTAGTCAGTATGACATTTGTGACTTGTAATATTCATAATCACAAAAATAATAATTATCCCAAAATCAGTCAATATATTTTATTCAATGACAGTTGAATTTCTAGTAATTTCATGAAAAATTCATTCTGAAGCCTACAAGGCAAAGAATAGGACATACAATCTTTAAGAAAAATAGCAATGATTTGGAAAACGTAAGACCACATATAAAGACAAACTATAAAGTTATGATAAGTAAGGCAGTGTGATACTGGCAAAAAGAACACACAAAAAATTTAACAGAGTGAATTTCAGAAGAAAATATACACATATAAACAGATGATTTACAATAAAAGTGCCACCGCAATGCAAAAATGAAAACTTAGTCATTTCAATGAGTAGTAGTAGATCTATTACAAAGTCAAGGAAAAATGTTTCTGAACCTTTTCTTTCTTTTTTGTTACAATGATACAAATATCATTAAATAATGATTATTGAACCCAAGACCTTTTCACTAAGCTATATCCTCAGCCTTTTTAAAATTTTTATTTTGACAGGTCTTTCTAGATTGCTAAATCCCTGAAGCTAGGCTTGAACTTGCAGTTCTCCTGACTTACCCCCATAAACACCGGGATTATAGACACACACTACAGCACCCAGTCTGGTCTCTTACTTGACACATACACACACACACACACTCACAAAGTTGATACTAGATTGATGAAAAGTATAAATTTGAACTATAAAACAATAACATTATTAAAACAAAATAAGAATACATTTTTAGGACCTTGAAGAAGCAAGAGTTTTTAAGTAGAATACAAAATGCTCTAACCATCAAAACTGTTACAGTGAACCACATTAAAATTGTGAATTATTTTTTCATTAAAATTCACCATTAAGAGAGTTTAAAGCCAACTCACATAGTAAGATCGGGCATATCTCTTTAAAGCTTATATATTTAACTAAGGATTTGATTCCAGAATATATAAATAACTAATGCAAACCATAGAAAAATGAGAAATAGCCTAACCAAAAAATTGGTTGAATATTGAAAAGACATTTCATAATATGATTATCCATCTAGCCAGTATGCATATGAAAGGATAAATTTATTAGTCACAAAGGATGGGAAAATTAAAACCATAGAATTGCAAAACCATAGAAGTTGCTAGTATGTAGAAGTAATTAAAGTCACATACAATAGAGAAGATGTAAATGATCATAACTATTTTAAAAATTGTTTGTGATATCAACTAAACCTTAAGTGTGTACATATCTTATGAACTAGAAATTCCATTCTTAGATATAACACTCTATGTAAGTTCACCAAAATATTTGAATTATAAAGTACTGCTCATGACAGCACTGTAAAAAAAAATTCACATCTGAAAACTCATAAATAGTTATTTATCACGAATAAAAAATATTGTGCTGTATTAGCACACTGAAACATTACACAGCAAAAGGGCTGGAAGATAAAAATTACTCTCAGTCAGAAGATAAACCTCACAACAATGTTGACTTAAAGATTTATTCAGTACTATAACATCAGTTGGAAAGTTTGAAAACACGGTGGAGTACACAGCTTTCTAGGAAAAAACTATGAACAGCATTGCTATTAATATTCTAGTATATGCAAATGAGAGAACATTTAAACAAACCATTGCATACTTGTAGAATGGAATATCCTCAACAATTCAAAGAATAATCTGATATGGTATAGGCAACTCCATACAATTTCAAAAATATGCCAAAGGTAAAAGGCTTTACACTAATTATATAATTCCACTTATATGAAGTTCTGTAACAAGCAAAACTAAACTATGATATAGAGAAATGCTATCAGCAATGACCTCTCAATGGAGTACAAAAGTCTGTAGGGAACTATCTGTGGTGATGCTAACAATTCCATGTCATGGCCAGGGATTGAATTAAATAGCTATAATGTTCCTAAGACATGTGAAATGTTTAATGTTCAGTATTTGTATTGTATATATTGATATCTAAAGATAAAAATACAATTAAAATTGATATGAATGATGAGAAATTTATGAGAAAATGAACTGGTTTCTGGAGTTCACTTTCCAATGTATAAAACTAGGATGGGTTGATAAAGTGTAGAATAGAATACTACATATGAATAAACGAAGTAAGTTACTAATGGTAGAATTTAAGTGGTAGGTAATGGAAGTTATCATAAAAGTCCCTCCACATTTATACATGCTTGAAAATTTCAATACTAAATTTCTGGAAAAGAAATCAACTTTCTACTTTTAAAAAAAGTTCTTAAAAATAAGACTATAGAGATGTTTCCTAATATATGTGAAATAGTCTCTTTAGTCAGTGCCCAACCTCTTGCTTACTACTTCACATGTAAAAAATTTCCACCAAATTCAAGCACAAATAAGGATTTCCAACCACTACCATTTCATATATCATTTTGTAAAAGCTACATGGTGCAGTTGGATACATAAATAAATGAGATATAAATATCAGTGTAAAGCAAAATTATCATTACTTGTTTAGGTTGTAACTATAATTAATAACTCAAACAAAAGAATTACAGCAATCTTTTCTAGAAACAATGGGAAGCTGAAGCAGGTCTATTATGTAATAAATATAAATGTGTAAGCATAATTTAAATTTAAAATAATAAATATAAAATAATCAGTAAGAAAGAAAGCATCGCAATAAAAAGTTATCAGTTAGAAAACATAATGAGTTATGTTTTCAACAGAAACAATATGAAAAACCTAGGAAAAACTTTGTCATTTATATACAATGAAACATATAGAAAGACATAATAATCAGTTAAGATATATATATATATTGAGATAGAGAAACTTTCTATATTTTTAGTTATAAATTTTTAAAATTTAATATGTGTTTTCATGAGAAACTACATTGAAGATATCAATATGTAATACAATAAGCATTGTTAATTCCCTACCACTCTGTTTGTAACTCTGTAATGTCTGTACTGATCCTTTGCTATTTTGTAAAATGTTGTCGGTCTGTTAGTATTTTCCTCCTTTTATTTCTAAAATAAAAAATAAAAAAAAATTAAAAAATAAAAATAAAATAAAATTTTTTTAAAAAATTTGTCTTTTTGAGACAAGGTCTCACTCTGCTGTTCAGGCTGGCCTTAAACTCACTTTGTAGCCCAGGCTGGCCTCGAACTCACAGTGATCCTCCTGCATGTGGGGATTACAGGAGTGCATCACACCCCGCAGTTATAGCTTTTTAAAAAAATTTATGTTATTAATACACGTTTGCAATTCATACAGTTTACAGTCATCTTGGAGAGTGCTTATATTTATATACTACAACTTGGTTTTTTTTTCCTAATCTCCTTCTCCTTCCCTCTGCCCCGCTCTTTTCTTCTGGTTCCCCCATCACCCTTCTCATAGTTGTTGTGATTATTTGTCTTAGCTCTTGTTACAGCATGGGAAGATTTAAAACTATTGATATTACAATGTTTTTCATTTTAACCTAAAATTCTATATAGATTAATATCACAATAGGATATCATGAGAATCCATGGTAAAGAAATAAAATCTAAATATATGTACAACTTTATGACAAAGTCATAAGATACAACTAATAGAATTCAAATAGTTGATAGTCTTTTGTTTCCTTTTTTGTCTTTTTTTTTTTTTTTTTTTTGAGATAAGGTCTCACTATGTAGTGCAGGCTGGCCTTGAATTCACTTGTGTATCCCAGTCTGGCCATGAACTCACAATGATCCTCCTGACTCAGCCTCCTAAGTGCTGGGATTACAGGCATGTGCCACCACACCTGGCATAGAGTTGAAGTTCTTATAGAAATCACTCAGGAGGAAAATCTGCTCTTCGGCACATATTCCCTGGGACCCCTGTTTCAATAACACAATTTTAGAAGGCTCTTGTCAAATAATTCACTGAATTCTATGAGCAACTTAGTCATCCATATGGGCTGGATGGCCTTATTCGCAAGGAACGTGTAGTCCAGCTCACAAACGTTTGACTTTTCCATAGTTAAACTTGGACTCATGTTTATAATATGTTCAACAATATTTGAAACTTCCCTCCACTTTGGACTTCAGGACACTATCTTCTCCTGCATTTCTTTTTCTTTCCTCCCCCTTGCTTCCTGCCTTCTTTAATGTTTGCTATGTTTTTTATTAAGGCAAGAAAGAAACATCTCTCCACAAATCACAGACCCCTCACCCACTCCATCACCACCCACTCTGGATTTAACATACGCATTTCTTTTAAATAAAAGCCGGTAGGCCACCAGCAGGGACCCCATTCCTCTGACCTCTGTCACCATTTGGTGAGGTGCGCAGTCTATCCTTTCTGATTGGGGGATCTTGGGGCACTCTGGAGTAAACGAAGAACCTGCATAGAAATTAAAGGACAAAACTGAAAATCTGTGGTGTAAACATAGCCCCAGAAAGGAAGATGACAAAGTGACAGACTTTCAGTAGGTTCTGCAATCAACAAACCACTGACAGCTGGTATCTATATTTCCACACAATGTTTTACATTCTTCCAAGTGTTGAATACACTTAGGTTGGGGTTTTTCTTTTGATTATTTGTTTGTTTGTTTTGTTTTGTTTTGTTTCTTTGTTTCTTTAGAGATATAATGCACATACCTTAAACTTTTTCAAGTGATAATTTAGTTCGAGGATTTGTTTGTTTGCTTGCTTGCTTGCTTGGTTATGTTTTGTTTTGTTGTGTTTTGTTTTTTTGAGACAGGGTCTCATTATGTAGTCCAGGCAGGCCTCCAACTTGCCGCAATCCTCCTGCCTCAGCCTCTGAAATCCTGAGGTTACTGACATTTGCCATTCTTCCCACCTTTAATTTCAATTTTTATTAGTCCCCTTTTTTTGCAGTACATAATGCTTACATTCATTGTGGAGGGCTGGTACATGTATACAACACACACAACCAATAACCACCATGTAATTCAAAATACTCTCATTGCTCTGTAAGAAGATCACATTCCTCTTCCTTTTTTCCAGTCTCCCTGATAAACAAGAATCTCTTTTCTTTCTCCATTGATTTGCCTGTTCGGAACACTTCATATAAACAGCATGATAATGTAAGTGCCCTCTATGTCTGGCTTCTTTCACATGGTATAATGTCCTCCAGATTCTTCCTTATTGCCACGTGTATCAGTACTTCATTCCCTTTTATAGCTGAGTCCTAGCTCATTATGTAGATATAAAATATTTTGTTTGACTGCTCATCAACATCTATTTGGATTTCCACTTTTTAACTAGTGTGCATAACTCTGCTATGAGCATTGATGCAAAACTCCTCTGTGGATGTATTTTCAGTTCCCTTGGTTGTATAAGAATGGAGCTGCTAAGCTGCTTATCTTTCACATTTTGAGCAACTGCCAAGTTTTTTCCGAAGTGACTGTACTATTTTATGTTCTTACTGCCAAGTATGAGGATTCCAGGGTTTCTGCAACTGAACAATACTTGTTACTTGTTTTTATTTTAGTCATTCTACTGAGTCTGAAATGGAATCTCATTGTTTTGACTTGTGTTTTCCAAATAACTGATGTTACTGAATATAGTTCATGGTCTAGGGTCATCTCACAAGAGAAATATCTATTTAAATCCTTTATTTTAAATTAGGTTCTTTTTCTTTTTCTTTTTGAATTGTAGCGTTTCATTATGCAACCTAAATGTTAGGTCTCTACCAGATATGTCCTTTGCAAACTTATTTCCTGATTCTGTAGATTACCCCTTCACTTCTTTGATGATATCCTTCAAAGCACAAAATTTTCAGTTTTGTGAAGTCCAGTTTGCCTCGTTTTTCTTTGCCTGTATACTTTGAGTATGATCTAACAAAGTGTTCCCTGGTCCAAAGTCACAGACATTTATTCCTGTTTTCTCCTTAGATCTTTATAGTTTGGGCTCTTGCTTTTAAGTCTTTGGTCTCTTTTGACTTACTTTCATGAGTTTTGTCAGGTAGGAATCCCACATCATTTACTTTACACTTGGATATCCAATTAATTGCGTTACACATGTAGGGTTTTTTCATTTGTTTGTTTGCTTCTGTTTGGTTTTGCTCCACTTCTTTCCAACAAATTTTGATGTAGACTTGGAGGATATAATTGGCCTTATATAAAATACACACTTTCACTCAGACTTAGTGATTCTTATTCTAGCCTTTTTCAAATTTTTCAAACCTTCCCCTATATAACAATGGAAGTAGAACTGGTCAGTGGGCTCCTTTAAACATTCAAAATACAGGATTTCACCTGATACTTCATGCACCAGTTTCTGTGAGCATAATAGGTTCTCTTTGATATCTTTGGTTTCATTAAAAAAGACTCCCAAACTATTTCTCTACTATGTTTATGGAGCTGAACTTAATGTGTGTGCATATGTTTGTTTCAAAATTAAAGGCTTAAACATAAAATCTGAAATTATAAAAATCCTAGAAGAAAACATATGGCATAAGTTTCATGACGTTGGTTTTACCCAAGAGCATAGGCAACAAATGTAAAATTGATCTGAATCAAATTAAAACATTTACTTTTCATGATCATTTTGACTTTGAGAAATAGCAGAGGTAGAAAGGTGCCAGGTTGAGTGAATAAGGTAGATGAGGACATAAAATCTTGACAAAAAATTGTCATAAATATTTTGTATTGATTCAGCATACAATGACAGCCATAACAGAGCAACTAAAGACATTCAAAAAAAGACTTCCAGAACTGCTTCAGAAAGTGGAAGAATGATAAGTGTGTTTAAAGCAAGAGAGAGTATTTTAAGAAATATTAATGACAATGTGTTTTTTACTGTAATTTTTATTTAAACATTTACTGTATTTTTGGTCACATATCTAGCAAGAAGTGAACTTCCAAATTATATAAGGAACTCAGAAAATTCTATGGTGAGAAAACAAATGGCCTACTTTAAAAATGGACAAAAGATTTGAATAGATATTTCTCCAAAGAATACATATCACTGGATGAAAATATGTGAAAAAATGCTCCACATCACTAATTGCCAGGGAAATGGAAATTAAACCTATAATGAGACACCACCTCACACCTGTTAGGGTGGTTGTTATGGAAATAAAATGAATAAAATGAGGAAGGCAGGAGAGCGCAGGCAGGAAGGTGGATGTGATCCAGTAAGTCCACATATGTATGTAAATGTGACAGTGAAAGCCACACATTGGTACAGTCAAGAAGTGTTAATAATTATAATGAAAAACAATTGTGGATAATGATGTGAAGAAACAAACTTGCACACTATTGCTGAGAATGTAACATGGTGCAGGTATTATGAAAACAATGTGAGGAGCCTCAAAATATTAAAAATAATTCACCACATAAACTCTGCAATCCCACTTTTGAATATTTATCCAGAAAATAGAGTCAGGATCTTAAGGAGATAGTAGCATTCTTGTGTTAACTGCATCACCACTAACAATAGCCAAGATGTATAAAAAATCTATATACCTACTAAAGGAGGAATGGATAAAGTAAATGTGATATATATATTATATATATATAATATATATACAGATATAGGTATAGATATATAGATATATATGATGGAATATTATTTAGTCTTAAAAAGGAAGAAGTCCTGTAATATGCAGCAACAGGGGTGAACTGCTGCACTATTTCTTCTATGTGAAATACTCAACACAGTCGAACTCACAGAAGCAAAACATAGAATGGTGGATGTCAGGTGTTAGGGGCAGGGAAAGTGGGTAATTGCTAATAAACATATTCCTGTTATGAAAAGCAAGTTATATAGCTCTGATGTACACCATTGTTTTGATAGATAATAACACTCAAAATGCTTAAAAATCTGTTAAGAATGTATACTTCACTTTACTTGTTCTTACATAATAATAAAAAATTAAATTTGCTTTTCAGCCCATACAAACATCTTCAAAAATATATCAGAGAAAATTCCAGTGCACAAAATGGTTAAATCCGGACCTCCTTTGGATGAATTAGAGTGTGTTTTGGCATGAATGCAGGAAATGAATGTGGGTAGAGTGTGTTTTGGATGAATGTGGAAATATTAGTTTTATTTTAATAGAAGAAGATGTGTATACATTGGATAGTTAATCTCTGCTCCCAAAAATGTTGGAAAGAAGTAGGAATAGGCTCAAAGTGATTAACACCAATGATTTTTCAATTATCTGGAAGAAAGTGCTACCGTGCTTCCTGTTAGAGGGTTGAAGAGAGAGTGAGCAGCTCGGTGTGCTGCCGTCAGTACCATCTCTTTTCCCTGGAGGATTAATCACATCCATAAAGGGCTTTAACAAGCAGAGAAAAACCCCCAATTCATTTTTTTGGGGTTTGTTTTTTTTTTTTTTTTTTTGGTTTTTCTCCGGTACCAGGAACCGAACTCACGACCTTGAGCATGGCAGGCAGGCGCTTTTGCCGCTGAGCTAAATCCCCAGCCCCCCCCCCAATTCATTTGTGTTGGAAAGAAATTTACACATTTCACCTGGTATTTTATTAGTTAGAAGATAATGTGTATACCTGAGGAGAAGTAAGTCTATTTGATGCATCTATGTGTCTGTGGATGGGAAAGAGACCAAGAGAGAGGGAGAAAATGGAGGGAGGGAGGGAAGAAGGGAGAAAGAGAACAATTTTGAAAGCATCTGTGAAAAAAACCATAGCTATTTCAGTAATAATATGGAACAGAGGCTAATTACAACACATGTACCAGGTCAGTATAGCCATCAATTATCCTTGACCTGGTGGTCTTTTCCGTGATAAAATGGAGACAGGCACTGTTTCCTTAACTGTTCTTTCTCCTTGAGAATTCTGGTACTTGATGAGTCTGCATGGAAGGGCAGGTGTGTAGTGAGTGCCAGTTTGTTTCTTGTTATAATTACACCAGATGGGGTGTGGAAGACCTTAATAGTCAAAGTTTAGTTGGGGAGAAAGAGGTTACCTTGAAGATTAACCCAAATTAATTATGGGTATGGATTTTGAATACAGCAATGCAGCGACATGTGAAATAGTGAAGTAATAACATGACCTCTTTGGCACCCCAAAAATGTGACCCCTTTACCCACCTTTCCAGCTCACCAGTCACAACATCACCCTTACCTGAAGGATCTTCCAACACAAGAAGCAGCAACAGGATGTCTGCAACTACTGCAATCAGGATGAAGATGATCAGAAGGACTTCCAAGACAGTAAGCTTCCTGGCCATCTAGATGGACACAGATAAATATATTAAAGCTAGCCACAGAGACCCATTAGCCCAAAGAATACACATTGTGATTAAGATGTGAACTTGCCTACAATATAACCTAATCATCAGTGTTCCTCTTTACAGAGTCCAGAGAATATTTTCTACTCACTCATAGGGTCATCCATTCCGTTGTGCATCCAGCAGCTCTAGGGCTCTTACCTTTTGTCTGCAAAGATATTGAGTACTGCCAAGGAAAAAGTATATGGGACATGAAGAATTAAAGAAAAAGTGAAACAACATAGTGAAAATAGAGGGGTTAAGATGGCTCCAAACCCCCTTCTGAGATCACCTTGATCATTCAACCTGTGTAGTGGAAAAGAGGATAAACACAGGGAGAAAGAAAACTGCAGAAACTGAATCCAAGATTTCTTCTAATTTCTTATGGTGTGAAGCTGAGGTGTTCACCTGTTTAGAAGTCACTGACCCTTTTAAGGGTTTGGAAACAAAAACAAGCCTGATCCTGACACCCAGAATGTTACATGTATCTCATAGCACACAAACTCATATAACCTCAATGGCCAGCAGAAACCCTGGCGATCACGTATGGACCTAAATGCAAATATTTTGCCATATTGAAAAATGTATTGACCTGGACTCAAATACCTCAAATTCTTGTCCTGGTTTTCTCAATAATGATAAGCTGTTTACCCTTGTGGACCTGTGTTTTTTCACCTACAAAAAGAGATCAGATTGTGGACATATTCCCATGTATTTTACTGTAATTATAATAAAGTTAATACTGTGCACCTGGCAGCTCTGTGACAATCCTCAACTTCAGTGGCGTTCGTCATCACCCCACTTCCCTCGTCCACACACCACAGTTGTACCCTGGAATTTACCATGCTCCAGAACTGTTCCACTTTTGAAATCCTAAACCCAATTCTCATTTACAGGTCACAAGCTGATGTCCTTTTACTGTCTAATTGCCTTACTTCACTCCTCTTTTTTTTTTTATCACACAGATTCCTGTTCCTTTCCCATTTCCTTTTGGTCCCTTAGCCCTTCTAGGCTTTTATCCCTACTGACATAAGCCTTGATGTCTATTGCTTAACTGTGCTAACTGAATCTATATCATGAAGCAATCAAGGCAAACATCTGCCTCTGGTGGATGCACTAGTTTAACCTAGAAACCCATAATTTCCCCCAAAAAGCAATGGGCCTGCAAACTGACGGATGACATTCCTAGCTCTTCTCATTGTTCCCAGAAATGGATTAAAAAATTAAGCCTTCTTTTCAAGCCTGACTGCTGTCATCTACTATCCTATTCTTACCTAATATAATCTTTAATGTCAAAGAAAAAGTAAATTTTGCAGAAACTATTGCCCTGCTTCTCAACCCAAGCATTTCTACAAATATTATGCATAATTAGGCAAATTCTTATCTTTTCCTATATGTTCTAAAAGGATTTTATCCTTTTGTTGTCCAAGCATAATCCTTACATCTATTCTCGGGCTCTCATAGACATTGAATTTCTCAAAAATCTTTTGTTAACCAATCATATATCTTTTTGCTTGCTTTATAATCCTCTCTCCCTTCAAACTTGCTTTGCCCCTATTCAGTGTATTCTGTCACTCTCAATTGTTGATGACTCTTCTCTAGGTGCCATTTTTTTGTTTTGTTTTGTTTTTTTGTTTTTTTTCTGGTACCAGGGATCGAACTCACGACCTTGCGCTTGCCAGGCAGGCACTTGTGCCGCTGAGCTAAATCCCCAGCCCCTTTAGGTACCATTTTAATATTCTTTTTCCTTTCATGGCTAACTTTGCAAAAAGTTAATGACATACTGTGCTCATTACCTTACTCACATATCATTGGCATGGCTTGCATTTTCTGCAATCTACTGAAACTGCTCTTGCCATGGTCACCAATACATTAGTTGCTAAATACAGAAGGTACTGTTCTTACTCACCTAGTACTATCAACCACTCCCTTTTCCTTGAAAATCTCCACCCACCAAAAAGTCTTGACATCAATATCATTCAATCTCAAATTTCCACCTACAATTTTGGCATCTTTCCAATTTACGTCTTGCATCTCCTGTTTCATTATGTATTAATATACCTCATATTTTCACAGAAGCCCCCTTTTAAAATTTCAGACTCTCCTTGAACAATCCCATCTATTCACATTACTTTACATGATATGTGTCAACAATCTGGCCTCTATTTCTACCCAGAGATTTCGATTCTTATATTCAATAGCCTGCTCAATAGCTCACTTGAGTGTCTAAAAGACTTAACAAAAATGGACGTGTTTGAATATGAAAACAATCCCTCCCAACACCCTAGTCACAGTTTCTACCAACTTTGCCAAATCAACTGCCCCTCAAATAATTAATAGACTGAGGAAAAGAATCATGTTTTCTTTTAAAATAAATACCTGGGAATCATTCTGATTCCTCTCTGTTGGTTCTCAGAAACAGTTCAACCAGACTGTATTCCCCATATCTTTGGGTCATTTCCCCAATTACCCAGCACAAACAGGGTCATTGACATCTCTTATGTTCAAGTCTTAATGCTACTTTAGAGAGGCTATAAACATTTTAGCTTGTGAGCAAATTATTCATGATACCCCTTATGCTCAGCCTGTCTCCTATATTTGCACTACACTAAATCACGATTTATGCAACAATTTACAAAGCAATGTGTCCAATTTTCTGAGCTTTTTGTTATAACTCTTCCCTCACTTTCCATTTCCTTGCATACTTCTTCTGCTATAGCCCAATGCTGTGACTATTTCCCCAGTTTCATCTAAGTGTATCATTAATTGAGGCCACTTTTAGTCTAGTGTGTAATAATCCAAGGAAAGAAGCACTTTAATATTGAAATAGGAAAGAGGAGTAAGCACCAACAAATTCTTTGCCAAAGGAACTTAGGAAAAACCTTCAGCTCTTGTAGAAACTAGGGTTTAGAATTAAAGTTGAGGTTTATTACCTAACTACTCTTTCCTATTAACTTAAATCTATCTGATGTCTTTCTTCCAGTCTAAATTACTCACAACATTTACTCTAATCTTCATAAAATATGTATCATGCTACATTCTCATAATGCTTCTACATCAAAGTTGATCATATAGGCACCATAAACACCCCTTTTATAAATGAATGCTAAGGAATTTTGTCTACTATTAACAGTTGTGGAGCTGAGTTAAACTCTGAGTTACCACTTCTTAAACTACTATTTGAGTTCTCTCTCCACAATATTTGCCAAACTATGAGGCTTAAAGGTATAAGGTACAGATCTCCAATGGTGGAATTTCAGGTAGTAAAAGAAATCTGAGGGACTGGTCTTAATCACTCGTAATTCTTGATTTATTTTCTTTTACTCATGACCCACAGCTAAGTATCTTAGCAAATACATTGGCCATCAATTATATTCCTTTTCCAAGTAAACTTTCTTTCCAGAGTGAGATTTTTCTTCCTAGCCTTTACAAACTACTTCCTCCACGACTCCTTAACCTTCTTGAGAGAACAGGTCCAATACAATAGTTCGGGAAGTTTGGGAACATTCTTGGGACTAAGCCGAGACATTATCATTCCACAGCAAATACTGTCATACAGAGAGAGGGCAGGGATGGGTATTCCTAATTGTAGAAATTCTTCCCTACTTAAAAATCCTTCCTGCCCCAAACTGGGACACAATTACCTTCCTCTGAATTCAAAAGAATCTCATCAGTTTATTCTTTCCATGGTTTCTCAGGCAGAGAGAGACAAAGAGAAAAAGAGAGAGATTTGCCATCTATCCTACGCGCGCGCGCACACACACACACACACACACACACACACACACACACCTCCTCTCCATGCACTATCTCATCCTCATTTTTTATCCTCGATAGAAAAGGAAGAAAATATCACGCCCAGAAGAAAATGTGAACATCTAGGTCACTTAACAGAGCAGGAAACATGAAAACTTACAAAAAGAATGAGATTTTATTTGCTCAAAACACCATCTGCACTGGCAAAAGTACTCACCTCATAGTCTTTTTCTTTGCTGTGGCTGTCTGTGAGTGACTCAGGAGGAGCACTGAGCAAAGGTGACTGGACCTTTGGAGCCAGCTTCTGCCACAATCAATTTACTGCCTCGTAAAGTTGACCACAGCTGGAGGAGGGGAATGCATTTCCCAACACACCATAAAAGAGTCCTCGATCTCATGAGGAGAGAGAAAGCTCCATTTGTTAGTAAAAGGGGAGGGTGGTTTTTCCTCTAATAGTTGTCCCTCTTTGTGTTCCTGCTGATATCTGATTACGCCGCCTGCTTGCCACCTCTGTCACGCTTCCTTGTCTGTCCACGCAGCCTCAAGATCTCAAGAGCCACATTCTTCCCCATTTTTCCCATGGTTGCACCTCCTGTGCTCAACACTCCACTCCATATGCACAGACACTTTAAAATATGTAGCTATTTGTTAAATAGGTGAGGGAAAGAATGAATAGCTCTTGGGTCACTGCATTGCTCCTTTCTCCACTTTTGTCCTCTAAAGTTCTCTTAATTTAACTTGCCTTATCATTAACTCAAAAATGTCTTTGCCTCAATTATTCTAAGTGAGCAGAGCACCATGAATATGGAAACTATCTAGTCATACAGTGAGAAGATAGAGCTAGTAGATATTTGCCATGGCTTTTGCTTGCTTCACACGTTTGTAAACTCTTCTTATGGTTAATGAATTTCTCACCATAAGAATTCTGTCTTCCTAAAGAAAAGTGTAGAAAATCTCTTCCACAGCCTCTCTTTCCACTAGGGTAGACGAAGAGGCCTGGGCACAGTGGATGGGATATGTCTGTGAGTGGCTGAGATCCAGAAGAAAGTGCAGGAAGAGGGGTACCATGTGGAGTAACGGAAATGTGTGTCAAGGGATGGCAGGGAGAGGTCTTGTGTCAAGGTCAACACGAGTCAGGAAATAGGGACATCCTATGCTCAGTACTGGCATGAATCCTGCCAGACCTGTGCTAAGGGCAGCAGCAG